GAACATCAGTGGAGTATTTTCAACAAATCAATAATATTGTGATATATCCATGATGTATAATGTTGTGACTAGTCATAAGTAACTTAAGATCGAATAAAACAAATCTTTTAACAAATCGTTCAGTCGCAAAACATATTCTGAAATATACCAACATGAACAACCGTGTTGGTTCATTTTGATATATAGTGGGATATCAGTTTATCAGTTTACTGGAGCTTCAAGCTAGAAAATTCTTGCAGGGATCATGTGAAGATTTGGTAGTCTACACTGCTGAGATAAGTTACAGTAAAACAATAAAATTGTTCAATAATCTCTGGCATTCAGAACTTCTCCACCTAGTATCATTTCTTAACAACAAAAAAGCCACAGCCTAATTATAGGGAACTCATCACAAAACAGAACATTTTATATATGAGGATATGATAATCAGAAAGTTGAAAAAAATAAAACAAATTCTAATAACGTCCCTGTTAATCTTATGATTCGAATGTTCCATTCCGACAGGATCATGTTTAAAATCTTGACGAATAAATGTTGTTTTTTCACTACATTAAAGATAATCAGTATCCCAACATAGAGATCTTTGACAGGAAAAAAAATACTCCAACATAAATCATCATTTGTTTATACTTGTCCATTAATACAAATAAATTTATTGTAATTTCACAAAAGCCCCTTCTGATACTAATCAACATATGTTCACTAGTGACTGGCTTCAAGAGATATATTCTGGAGTACTAGTGAGAAGCAATGACCAGTGGAGTTCAACCGGGTCAGTTGTGAGGTAATAACTCACTGATAACAATGGTGAATTTGTCGTTCAATTTCGTGGATTAGTTGGAAGCTAGACATTAACACCGTTGGATATCGGCCGGCTCAGTGGTCTAGTTGGTTAAGCGCCTGACGCGAGACTGATAGGTCCTTGGTTCGATTCCCGCAAGGTGGGGTCGTGGATGCGCATTGCTGAGGAGTCCCATACTAGAACGAAACGACCGTCCAGTGCTTTCAGGTTTTCTATGGTTGTCTCGCTTCAATCGACTCATTGATCTCAACTATTGAAATTTCTACAATCTCCACAAAACGCCTTCTGATACTTATTGTAATTCACTAAACAAAACTATTTTCTTAATATAGAATCATTTCATTAAATCTTTATAACTTTTATTTACTTCTTATGTCATTGGTGTATGTCCAAAGGCGTACTTATTCAGAAACTATAGACTTATATTGAGATGAATAGTTTCAGAAAAGGTACACAACTGTTTACTTTTTATTTTCACTGACTAAGATATGAGTAGTTATTTTGTAAGCATTAACTTCTTTTAGTCATCTACTTTATAATTATTTCCTATTACTTATTTATTTCAGCTAACTAATTTCATTTATTAACAACAGGATTATTTCATTGGTTGAGATTATGTATCAATTGAAGCTAAATCACTATGAAAAATCTAGAAGCACTGAATAGCCGTTTCGTTTTACTATGGGACTCATAATATCAACCATTTCTATATAAAGCTTACATTCTATCTGGATCTAAAGAAAACCTTCAAAACTCAGCTAAATATATACATATATTCGATAGGAATTATTTGAATAATGCAAATGCAAACTTTAAATATACAGTTAAATGTTTCAGCTGGTTAACACATTGCAAACGGTAACTAACTGTATCTTTGAAAAAAAATTATCCTTCTAATATTTCAGTTTTTAGCTGTTAAATTCAAACAAAATAAAGCTAATCAAACTTATCGGTGATTTACTCTCATGTTATACAGATATTTCACTGCTAACCGATGAATAACACTTAATTATAAGCATGTGGTAGATATAACGGTGAATCAAGTGGTAAATATTTCAGTTACCAAAGAAAAGAAAAAAAGAGAAAAGAGAAACATATTGCGCAGTCGTGCATTATTCTAGCAACAGAAATATTAGTCAGTTTCTATTAATCTTTATTTACTTTATCTACTGGTTCATTTATTATCAGTCACAAGATAGTAATTCACAATTAACAAGTATAATTTGATCGTTTTCACGCTGAAATTATAATACCGACTATTGACAGTTTAAAGTATTTGTGAATGTATTTCATATTTCAAAAAGAATTAAAAAAAAAAGGTAACTAACAAAGTTTACTGTGATGTTATGCACCAAAAAGGGGATATCAGTTTGTTAACTGTTATGTTAATTATATATATATGCAAACTATTTACAAGTGGTTAACATAACTAAACTTTACCATCTTACTTATTGAAAAGTGAAGAAGGTTAATAAGTGAAAAAATAAAAAAAATTTCGGTTTCTTCATTTCATGTCAATGTTTTATTTAAATACAATTTTAAGTATAATGAAACAGGGTGAAAATGCGTTTACTTCCTGTCGGAATATTTAGTCAAGTTAATTATTATGATATTTATTGTATCACATTTCAATGTAGGTCTAGTTTGTTTGAATAAAAATTAAAAAAAAGAAAGGGGAATCAAAAAAAAGAAGAATAAAAAAAGAAATTGATGTAGATAAAAATTGAGTTAGTTAGTACTTTATAATGAAGTGTAGTCATTTGATGAGAGTAGAATACGTTACGCTTCATTTATTCCAAATAAATAATTAACTATATTCTGTTTATATTTTATAGGTTAACTAACCACTAATCATGTTCTAACTAGTGCATAGTTTAATATTCTATCTTTGAAAAGTGTAATAATTAACTAATTCTATTGTTTAATTTAATTTATACAATAATGGAAGCATTGTGCATACCATTGTGATAGTGATAGAATTAACTTCATTATTGAATCAGAAGATACAGAATATCAATACAAGAAGAATCCTGGTGGGTGCGCTTATGCTCCTCGACGTGGAGTAACAGGCGTAAGTAAGTAAGTAAGTAAGTAAGTAAGTAAGTAAGTAAGTAAGTAAGTAAGTAAGTAAGTAAGTAAGTAAGTAAGTAAGTAAGTAAGTAAGTAAGTAAGTAAGTAAGTAAGTAAGTAAGTAAGTAAGTAAGTAAGTAAGTAAGTAAGTAAGTAAGTAAGTAAGTAAGTAAGTAAGTAAGTAAGTAAGTAAGTAAGTAAGTAAGTAAGTAAGTAAGTAAGTAAGTAAGTAAGTAAGTAAGTAAGTGAGTAAGTAAGTAAGTAAGTAAGTAAGTAAGTAAGTAAGTAAGTAAGTAAGTAAGTAAGTATGTAAGTAAGTAAGTAAGTATGTAAGTAAGTAAGTAAGTAAGTAAGTAAGTAAGTAAGTAAGTAAGTAAGTAAGTAAGTAAGTAAGTAAGTAAGTAAGTAAGTAAGTAAGTAAGTAAGTAAGTAAGTAAGTAAGTAAGTAAGTAAGTAAGTAAGTAAGTAAGTAAGTAAGTAAGTAAGTAAGTAAGTAAGTAAGTAAGTAAGTAAGTAAGTAAGTAAGTAAGTAAGTAAGTAAGTAAGTAAGTAAGTAAGTAAGTAAGTAAGTAAGTAAGTAAGTAAGTAAGTAAGTAAGTAAGTAAGTAAGTAAGTAAGTAAGTAAGTAAGTAAGTAAGTAAGTAAGTAAGTAAGTAAGTAAGTAAGTAAGTAAGTAAGTAAGTAAGTAAGTAAGTAAGTAAGTAAGTAAGTAAGTAAGTAAGTAAGTAAGGAAGGAAGGAAGGAAGGAAGGAAGGAAGGGAAGAAGGAAAGAAAGAAAGAAAGAAAGAAACTGTTTAAATCTAAAAACTTTAAAGTTATGCAAGAAAATTTCTTGAACAATACCTAGATAAAACCAGTTCTTAACAAAGCAATATTCAGAACATTCTAGTTTTAAAAAGTATTTATCATATATATATATATATATATATATATATATTTTAAAAAGAGAAGGTACTTACTTCAAAGGTATTTAAAAATTTATTTCGTTTCTATGGCTTTGTGTTTATTTGCAATCCTTTTGTCAAGCATATTAATCAAGAGTGATTTTAACAATGTATTAGTTAGTTATGAAATACATTATTAACAATAGAGACTATAGTAGTTAACAAAATTTTTGATCTAAATTGATAAACACAGTAATATCTTTTAGTAAAGTTTGATGAAACAGATTTTATGTCGGTGACATGTTTATTGTTTCTGAATAACTAAAAGTAAGAGTTTTGTGTAAAATGGTTCATGGAGGACAGCTGACAGACGCGTTCCAAGTAAGGACCGGAGTCAGGTAAGGATGCCTACTCTTCCCCCTTTTTTTTCTTGTGGTGGCTGATTAGATTGTAAAAACCTCAGCATCTGAGAGGAAGCACGGAATAAAATGGACAACTTGTGTACAACTACACGAATTGGACTTCTCAGATGATCTGGTTCTTTTATCCCATACACATGAGCAAATTCAGGTCAAGACAATCAGTATAGTAGATGTTTCTACATCAGTAGGTCCCAACATACACAAGGAATAAAGCAAGATCCTCAAATACAACACGGAGAACACCGACACAATCAAATTTGATGGAGAAACTGTGGAAGACGTGGAAACTTTCACGCATCTGGGCAGCATCATCGATGAACAAGGAGTATCTGATGTAGACATAAAGGCAAGGAATCATGAAGGAGGAAGGGCAAAGAACATACTATACTGAGAATTGGAAGCAGACACGAATACGATGAATAACAACTGGAAGCAACTGGAAAGGATTTCCCAGCACAGGGTTGTATTGAGAGTGCTGGTGAGCGGCCTATTGTCTTCCATGAGGGGTAACAGGCGTAAGTAAGTAAGCGCTTTGTGGTCTTAAAATAGGATAAGGTATTTCAACTCATATGAATTGTGATGTTTCAGTCTTCTAGCTCACGACAAAAATATGCACTATTTTAGAATACTACCTATTCTACATGATTGGCATTTACCGTCCGATAGGAAATTCGGTTGCGCTTATGATTTTAAACAGTGACCATTTCGCATGATTAACTTTTCCGTATTTATTTAAAATATTTACGTTAAATCCTTACATTCCACATTGATTATTAACCCAATACTATACTAAGCAATAAGTAAACTATTAAATGTGCAAGTTTCACTAAATAAACCATGATATCTCTTTAAATAATAGATCAGTTAATAGTAATTTCAAACGAATAAAAGATAAGTAAAATGGTGGATAAAAACAAATTTTGTTGCCAACTCTGTTTCATTACAGAATGGCAGAAACAAAACACCATGTATAGTATACTATACATAAAATGTACAATATTGTGTTACTTTTCTCAGGTTAAGAAAGATAATTAAAAAAAATACAGTTACATTTCCATAAATCTACAAATTCGAATACAATTAACAAAAAGGAATTGAGACTGTTTCAACTCAAAAAAATGAAAACTAGTTAAGAAAGATATTGATTTGTTGAACAATTTTAATCACATTTCATAGAGCTGAGATCATGAGTCAATTGAAGCTAGACCACCATCGAAAACCTGGAAGCACTGGAAGGCCGTTTTGTCAAAGATTCGGATCATCAGTAGATGAAGAATCCTGGTGGGTGCGCTTATGCTCCTCGACGAGGGGTAACAGGTGTAAATAAGTAAGGAAGAAAAGAAAGAAACTGTTCAGATCCAACGAGTTTGAAGTTATGTTAGAACATTTCTTGAACAATACCTAGATAAAACTAGTTCTTAACAAAGCAGTATTCACAATAGTACGAAATGGCCGTCCAGTGCTTTCAAATTTTCCATGATGATCTAGCTTCAATTGATTCATGATTTCAACTATGGAAATTACCATAATATCCACAAAAAACCGCTTTCGATACAATTCATATAGTTCAATGCATCATATCACTTTTATACTTAGACTATTCAACAACAACAACAACAACATTAGATAGAAAGTCCAATAAAGAAGTATATCAAGAATATTCTATGGAAATAGTCATGTACAAAATCAATAACAAGAAAAGATATAAAATACTACTACTGATAAACTGAAACAACTAATTTCTATTTATAATTAATAAATGATTTTAACAATTAAGGAATGTTCATAAAATAAATAGTAATAATATAATGATAAGATTATAATTTACAACAAACAATTAAGGAAAATAACGAGAGAGAGAGAGGGGGGGGAAGAGAGAAAAGAAAGAACCGTGTTGTTATGGAAGAAAACTAAATGAGAACATGTGGAAATATTTCTGTGTTGATCATTTAATAAACAATCCATTAGAACTATAACTTTTAGTTACATCAATTCCATGTTAAATCATGCATAATACTATCAAGAATGTATAGAAATATCTCAAATATAACTGAAAGATATATTAAGTATTTACTTATAAAACTCTATTCTTGTATAGGAAAAATCAGAATTCATGAATCAACAATTTATTTGATAATAGAACATATTTGTTACTTTGGGATATTATAATCGATTTTTTGTTTGTATAAGTGAAAATAAATCACATATTAGTATATTTCATAATTCTAGTGATAACTCTCCCAATTATTTCACATTACTTTTTCCCCCCCTGGTTACTGTTTACTTTCATAGTAAACAATCGTAAATGAGTTATCAGATAAGTAATTTTGTTTTTTAAAATGTGATATTCAGTATTCGATTGCATACAACGTAATATAACTTGATCTATTGAAGAACTACAATAAAATTTAAGAAAAAAACATTTGGTTATGTTAAGTGAATATTGGTCCCTAGAATATTATTCAAGAATAAAGTAATCACAGCATAATAAAATCATATGGAATATATGTAATGTTTATACTCCATAAACAAAGCAATAAAATATCAATGCTAGTTTATCCTTTCACATCAAATGAATCTGAATACAAGCTTATGTTTACTCTCATCGTTTCTTATTCTTGAAGTGATCGATTGGATCATGAAGACATCAGCGTCTGGAGGGGGGAAGCATGGGATATAGTGGACAGCTAGAATGCAGCTGGATGATCTAGACTTTGCACATGATCTGGTTCTACTATCGCACACGCAGCAACAAATGCAAGAGAAGACAACTAATGTAGCAACAGCCGCAGCAGTAGTAGGTCTCAACATACACAAAGGGAAAAGTAAGATTCTCCAATAAAACACAGGATGCACCAATAAACTTACACTTGACGGAAAAGATTTGGAAGATGTAAAAACTTTTATATATCTGTACAGCACTGATGAACACGGTAGATCTGATGCAGACGTGAAGATGCAGATCGGCATAGAAAGAGCAGTATATCTACAATTGAAGAACATTTGGAACTCAAAACAACTGGCAACCAACACCAAGGTCAGAATTTTCAATACAAATGTCAAAACAGTTCTACTGTATGGGGCGGAAACTTGGAGAACATCAAAAGCCATCATCCAGAAGGTACAAGTGTTTATTAACAGGGAGAAGCACTGCAAGTGAATAGGACACACATTGAGGAAAGTACCCAACTGCATTACAAGGCAAGCCCTCACTTGAAATTTTCAGAGCCAAGGGAGAAGAGGAAGACCAAAGAACACATTACGCCAAGAAATGGAGACAGACATGAGAAGAACGAACAAAAGAGGAAGGCTCAGGACAGAGTGGGTTGGAGAATGCTGGTCGGCGGCCTATACTCCATTGGGAGTAACAAGCGTAAGTAAGTAACTGTACAATTAGCCATTTGGGCACATCATTATTCCTTAATTCAAGACTAGTAACTAACTTTAACAAACAGTATAGCACGTAAATTTGTAGAACCGAAATTAAAGTTAATTTTGACAAGTTTATAATACCATTGATAATGAACTATTCACCTGTCCGTAATACTTTGAAGTTGTCATTTTATATTCTATTTCATATACTATTTTAGAATTAGTAAAATATCAGTTACTAATTATGAGTTATGTGCAAATAAGATAGCAAACTTGAATAATATTATTCAACAAAGACATCACATTCAAGATAATATATCTTTATTTCTTACTTAGCTATAGTTTCTATCAGCTTCAAAGTTACATTTTTAGTCTTTTTATATAAAGATGATTCTCAACCTTCGATTTTTCATTAAGGTATCATTAGGCTAACCAAAGAATTGAGGTAGAAAGCTTCTAACTGTATTACCAACACAAGTGCCCTTTATAATTGTTTTGTTTCAGGAGCTTCGTGGATAACTTATTGGTGTTTGTAGTAAATAGTTACTTCGTGTGAGAATATCAATTGCGGTATTAATGTATCATAGCAGCTCACTTGCAATTGAGTTTGTTCATATTTAATTTGGTTAAGCCTTTTTGTTAAGTTATTTAACGGGGCGAGCTATTCGTACAATAACTACTTATTTATACCATTGTACCTTTATTATTGTTGCACCTGTTTGAATATTTATGCTTGAGCATTGCTTACCGCCTACGCACATATTCATTATGCTAGCTTTAATTGTAGTCGCTTAATTGATCCGATGATTCATGTATTTCCCTATGTATATATATGTAGATTTTAATCCTATTCGTTGAACTCGCACGCTCACTCGCTCGCTTGTTTTTCGACATTACCCTTTCATTATTGTTTCGCGTGTCTATGGTTGTGGAGATCTGTGTGTCATGCAATAATAAACGCGATCAACAATTCGTACTCGTCTTCTGATTTATACACCGTTGGGGATATTATCTAATAACGGTTATCAGGACGAACTGTTTACGAAGTTTAAGTATTATATCGAATACTGACCACTACATTATATCCATTTAATAAGTTCTAAGCAGGATAAGACGAATATCCTAGGTTCCACTATAATCCACAATTTCAAAAAGATACTATAAATGAGTCTCTTGTTTTAAAATAATTAATAACTCTGAACTCATAATTGATGAGGTTTCCATTCCTAAGTTTGAAGAAAATGTAGGTCGAGTGTTATCTTATCCATTTATTAAAAGTAAATACACACAATATACACTGTCTACTTTGGATTAACACTTTTTTTACATGAACGATAAGTTTTATGTCTAATTATGAAGAATTCACTTCCTTTAAATAAAATAATATATATCCCATATCACCTCACAGTGAAGGTAATAGGAATGGTTTCACTTCTGAACGGATTTCAAATCGATGTCTGTCACTACTGAAGTCACCGATTAAAATTCAAGAAGATTGGATAGGCTTTTTTCTTCTTAAAAATTCTAACTATTCATGACTTTTTGTCACTTGATCTTTCAGGATAGATAGTAGTGGATAGAGTAGAAAAAAATATAATATGAATTTTCCAAGATCATCAGTTTTAGATATAATTTCAGGAGTCTTAACTGAAAGATGCAATTAACGTTAATCGTAATACTAATATTTAGTAAAGGGTATGTGTTGATAAACTGTACATCAATATGAATATTTAGTTCACTCAATATTTAAGTCCTTCTCTTTAGAATTGCATATTATCATTGATCATGTAATAGCTTGCACTGGGTGGTCTAGAGGCTAAGCGTTCGCTCGCGAGACCGAAGACCCTAGGTTCGAATCCCGCGGACGGACTCTTGGATGCAACCTGCAGAGGAGTCCCACAATAGAACGAAACAGCCGTCCGGTGCTATCAGGTTTTCAATGGTGGTCTAACATTAATCGGTTTATGATCTCAATCAAAAACTTAATAATCTCCCCAACCCCATACTCACATATAGTTATTCCATGAATCTTGGTAATTCGGACTGTATAAATTAGTTCATATGAATTAGTGTGACTATTGGAAAGAATATTAGTATTATACATACATGTTTATTGTAGTGTGTTATTAACTTACCTGTTTGTTGCTGCGTAGAGGTTTTCATGTAGTTAGCTGTAGGTATTTCTTTGTACCACCAAACACTAAGTGGATTCATTCAACTAGATATCTTCACTACCATTTAAACAGATAGTGTTTTCTTTATTTATTGGTATACAACAATATGATGATGTCACTTTTTCACTGGATTGATTTTCTTTCTGAATATGTTCGAAATGATTTCGTAACAATTCATCATAATAACATTTCATATAGGTTTGTACTTCGTGAATGGGTTGATTATTTGAATCCAGTAAATGTATGAATGGTATTTGATTTTGTGAAGTACAATTATCATTGTTAAACTGGTTAGATGCATTAATTTTTGATTGAATTTCTACAGAATTATAAAATGAACTTGGCAAATTTTTAGGGCAGGTGAACGCAGTATGTTTTCTTTTGTATGACTCAGCTTCTTTTGCATATATGTTACTCGGAATGTCAACATTTAATCTGCACGACTTATTATAATTTGTATTGCTAGAGGAATTTCCTACATTCATGTCATGAATCATACAAAGAATGCATGAGATACACTCGGGAATAGATTTAAATTTATCATATTTTTGCTTATTGCCAAGCTGCGATGATGAATCAGTCGAGCTATCACATGAAGACATTTCTAAGTTACTAAGTATATTAGGACAGGAATTATCACTCTTCTGTTCAGCTTTTGATACTGGAGTTGTTATTTGACGTTGTTCTGTATTCAATAGAGAGGAGATAGTAAATTTATTTAAATCTGAATTCAATTTTAACTGACGAGATGGATTCACTTGTTTCGATGATTGTAATTCCACCTCCTGATTATGCAATTGTAATGAATCTATTATACTTGGGTAATTACTAAGCTTCTCCTTTTGTTTTAAACGAGAGGAAATAATTTCATCGGAGGTATTGGGAACATGTGGGCTAGTATTGCAGAGTTTTGGATTTGAGAAAGGGAAAGAAAATGTGAGGGGCTGCTCCATACCTACAGATTCATTACATATTGGTTTATGTACATTTAGAGATACATTGTCATTAACTAGTTGGTTTGTATTTTTAGTAGAATTCATAAGAGCTGAATACCAAGCGGCTATCATTAATGACTGAGCCTCGTCAATTTTAGGAACCTGTTGAGAAGATAAGACAATAAAAGAAATGCTATACATCGATAATTCAACATATGACTGAATCAATGAGAATTGTAAATCTTAGTGTAATCCAGAAAATAGCTATTTCCTTTTGTTAAGTATTTTGAAATCGAATCAACTTATACCATTTTCTTTAGAGAATGAATAAAACCATCAAACAGTTATAAAAAGTTTGTTGTACCAATGTACATGTATGATTCAATACTTGTTCTAATTAGATAATTTCTTTATTTTAAAATTGTTTCACTTTTAATAATATTATTAGACAAATAAAGTTCAACCAGATCTGTTGTGAGATAGTAACTCAATGAAGACAATGGTGGATGTGTCACTCAGTTCCGTCGATTAGTTGAAGTTTAACATTAACACCATTGGATGCTAGCCGACTCAGTGGTCTAGAGGTTAAGCATTCGCGCACGAGACCAATATGTTCTGGTTTCGAATCTCGTAAAACGGAATCGTGGATGCGCATTGCTGAGGAGTCTCATACTATGATGAAACGACCATCCAGTGTTTCCAGGTTCTCCATGGTTGTCTAGCTTCCATTGACTCATGAATTCAACTACTAAATTACTGTAATACCCCTAAAGCCCCTTTCTGATTATTGGACAATTATTTAATACCTTGCTCATATTAGTTCGTGTTACTGATTCACTTAAGCCTTTATTTGCTTCATTTACATTTAGTTATACACTTATAAATAAATAACTATAAATTGTCCACATGTAGTAAATCACTACATTTTTCCAGGTATTAATCAACTTATTACCGCCTAATTTTGGAAAGTAACTTAAGAACCTTTCATACATTCTAAGTACAATATATTTTAGATGTTGAAAAATGGTAGAAGTTAACGAATTGTGTCGAATAAAACTGTGATTAGGAAATTCTGTCTTATTTTTGTTTTTTTATTGACTTTTCACTGACTGCCTAACTTTAAAAATATTGATAATGGATGGTGGCTACCAGTGGAATCCAGGATGCAAGTTTCGTTCTATTCCGAATTTGTAAGCTGGATGTACCTTTATCCCAGAGTTAATGTTCATTCTGAGACTTGAACCCAGTCCATATGCTAATATGAGACTGAACACTTGCAGTTCCAAACATGAATGAGAAGACTCAAACAACCAATACAAAAATGAATTAATGATAATAGTGATTATTTTCTATTTCTTTTGAAATTAGGTTATACACATCTATTGACTACAATACATCCATATACTTCAATCAAACAGTTCTTGATGAAATTCTCACTTCTGATGAGAAACACATGTATATATGTATCTATCTATGTATCTATCCTATTACTTGACATTTCTGTTGGTATACCAAATAGACAAACAATTGTTTATGTTAGGTGACATTTTATAAAAACAGCTAGTGGTTATTTCACTGGTAATATAGTATAAAAGTCAGCTAACATACTGGTTATTACATATGTAACAAACACTTTTGTAAGAATAACAGTGACATCTCTCCGATCATTAAGACCCAAATGATATTAATGGATATGGAAACTTGAGAATTACTTGACATGTAAAGATGATAAATAACTCTTCAACACAACATATGTGAAAAACAAACTGAATCTTTGCAATGCAAATTATTATTTAACTTTGAAATGGTCTGGATTATCCTATTGTTGAAATTTTCGGTTGAAATTTGGTCAGTCTCTTCTTGGTATATATGTGTGCTGTGCAGATTACCTCGATATAACTATTATGACACAAGTTTATGAAGAATAAATGGAATGGAAAATTCAGTGGCTATCCACAGCTAGCTACATCTCATTTCATTTTGAATTACATGTCATACTCATTGAGCAAGCGAGTGGCTATGTCGACCCAGTAGTTAAGTGGATAACGTAATGTCATTTGAGGCAAACGGTGCTAGGCTCAAGTCCCAGAGGGAACATGGACTCTGCAATGCAGGCACATCCAGTTGACGAATCCCAGACAGGACGAAACATGAGCTCTGGATTCCACTTCTAGTCAAATTTCATCTATTCTATGTAATTCGAATGTTATCTGTACTAGTATTTGAACATACGCTCCAAGTTTTATTATGAAAAAACTGAATAAATATAATTTTAATAAACATAGGCCTCATGAGATTAAACTTACTTTTGAAAACGTAGGATCGAATCCAGTTGACGTACGGTTGGCATGACTTGTTGTTGTATTTACAGATACTCTTAAACGTTGATTTAGTTCATTAACAATATGATCATGCTCCATATATTCCGTTGTTAAATGAAACTGTGAATTTAAATATCCTTTGGCCATTTGACTGCTGTCATAATCGTTTATCTCGTAGTCATTTTGAACGTGAATATTTTTACTGGAAAAGTTTACGTTACAGTTAACTGCAGCTAAATTTTCATTACTGGTTTTAATGGTGTCTTCATATGAATTAGAGGTTGATTCCATAAATCCATAGGATTTGTCTAAATTTTGAATATTAGAAAAGGATTTTGTTTGTACAATCGATGATAATGGTAATGAATTCATTGGCTCCATTGATTTATATGTCATTGGAGTAAATGATTTTCTATAATTTATATTTAAATTGGATGATTTAGAAGAAGAAGAGAAAGGACGAAACGAAGAGCAGTTAATAGTTTGAACATTTGGAGATAATAATGATTCTGTTGAAATCATTGATGTATTTACTGGTTGATTATTAGAAGATAATAATTGCATATTGATTTCTATAGGATTATGCTGACTTGAATGTATAGAATAATCAAGAGGATCCATTGATCCATCAGATGATGATTTAACAATAGGTAATAGACTTTCAGCAATCTTTAAGAGATTAAACCAATCTTCTGGTAATGCTGATGATAAATGATTGAAATCAAAACTGTTTATAACCTCTTGATACATTTTCGGTAGATATTTACTTTCATCAGAAGATAAATATTGTTTCATTTTAACATTTGAATTGACTACCTCATGAAGTTCATCAACTGAATCTTCACTACTCTTATAGTATACAGATTGTGAATTTGGTGTATAACATAATGGAATATTATTTAATTGATTCATATTTTTAAGAAAAAGATTTCTATTACTTGTTTGATTCATCAACCGATTAGAAGTATTGAATAGAAGTTTCTGTGAAGATTCTTTTGTCTTTGGTAAATTTCTATTCAAATTACATTTATATGAATCATTGGATTTTTGTATGAATTTACATGGATTATTTATGATTGAACTGATGTTTGTATGATCTATTAAATTAGATTGTTTAATTAATTGATTAAATAATTCTCTTTTATCATGATCATACATTTTTAATAATTCTGGATGTCTTCTAACAACATGACGTTTTATTGTGTCTAATTTTCTTTGAGTCATAACTTTATGACAAATAAGGCACATAACCTAAAGATTATCAGCAAAGGTAACACAATATGATTTAATTAATAGAATTTTAATATTAGATGAGGTTTTCATAGATATTATAGTAATTCCAATAGTTAAGATCATGAATCAATTGAAGCTCGGTCATCATGGAAAACCTGGAAATACAGGATGGTCGTTTCGTCATAGTATGAGACTCCTCAGCAGTGCGCATTCACGATTCCGTCTCGCGAGATTCGAAACCAGGACATATCGGTCTCGCGCGCGAACGCTTAACTTCTATTGTGAAACTCCTCAACAGTATGTATCTACGAATGTTCAGTGCTTTCAGGTTTTAGATTGTGTTCTAACATTGATCGGTCCATGATCTTAATTAAAACTCGGAAATCTGCACAACCTTACACTGATAATTGTCATGTGTTCATTAGTAACTAGCTTTGAGAGTTCTAGTGAGAAGCTGTGACCAGTTGATTTCAACTGTGTCGGGTGTCAGACAGTTACCCACCAAAGACATTGGAAATTGTGGATTGATTGAAGCTAGACATTAACACCGTTGGATGCTGGCCGGCTCAGTGGTCTAGAGGTTAAGGGTTCGCGCGAGAGAGTGATACGTCCTGGTTTCGAATCTCGCGAGACGGAATCGTGAATGCGCACTGCTGAGGAGTCTCATACTATGATGAAACGACCGTCCAGTGTTTCTAGGTTTTCCACAGTGGTTTAGCTTCAATTGACTCATGATCTCAACTATTGAAATTAAATTTTATTTGGATATATATCAAATCATTTCGTAAAAATTTGAAACTTTTTAATTACTAATTAACTGATTATTTATGCCAAAAATTCCTTATTATTAATTACGTCTCGGATGATTTATTTACCACAAAACTGTCCTGGAACAAATGGCATAAACTTTCTTCGAGTCATATACTGATGAATTCAACCAATGATCTATGAACTAATAGATAGTTTTACTTATCAATTTATAATGAAATACTTATAAAACACAATAGATGACTTTGTTTACCTTTGAAAATGTTCATTACAGGTATATAATGTAAATAATAATTTCTGTTCACTTCTGGAAGACAAACATATATATATATATATATATATATATATATATATATATATGCATAAGCCAGATTGACAAACAAAAAAGAAAGTCATCTATATGAACAAATACATAATAATCAACCCCAGTTGTTACCATGTAATAAACTAATGTTTTATAAAATAGTATGATGTTTGAAAGTAGTTAAGATACATATTACCTAACAGAGAGATAAGTAATTAATTATATCCAGAGATGGGTTTTGTGGATATTATAGTAATTAGTAGTTGAATTCATGAGTCAATGGAAGCTAGACAACCATGGAGAACGTGGAAACACTGGATGGTCGTTTCGTCATAGTATGAGACTCCTCAGCAGTGCGCATCCACGATTCCGTTTCACGAGATTCGAAACCAGAACATATTGGTCTCGTGCGCGAATGCTTAATCTCTAGACCACTGAGCCGGCCAGCATCCAACGGTGTTAATGTTAAACTTCAACTAATCGACGGAATTGAGTGACACATCCACCATTGTTTTCATTGAGTTACTATCTCACAATTATATTATTGACTAATAGTTTACGAAACTTATAGCATATAATTAATATAATTACTGAGATGGTCTACAATTGTTTATATTTTTACATTACTTTTTTGATGTATGTCGTTCATATGTTGATATCTTCAGCATTGAGCTGTACTAGGTATACGAGAGTTGGTGATATTATCCGGCTATGCAAGTTGAAGTACGTTCATAAAAGGTTTGAACCTCATAACTATTGGTTTTAGGCTAATTGTTCGACCATTACGTCACCCCTTTTTGATGTGAAATGATGAACTGACTCAGTAACATATTCAAAAGAAGACTTATCACTCTAATACTTAAAGTCTTTGAACAAACAAGTTGTTCGTCTGAAACAAAACTCTGGCTACTTTGATTTAGACAGTTACAAGAGTCGTGACGGTTGTTGATTATTTTCTTATAGTTAGTGATATTCTCTCAATATACTTTTCTAATGAGGAAGTCTATTTTCCAAAGAAAAAAAATCGTTCCACTTCACAAGAGAATACCGATCGTAACCTACACCTTAATTCAAATCCATTATTTCTAATAAAGTAAAGTATATCTTTGAATTAAAGGTTATACTGTAGTCCTCTAAAATCCTTCTCGTAATGGTCATCTTCATCACTGACACTAAGACTAACAGATTCTTCTTTAGAATCATTATTATATACATTGAACGAACACTATACTATAGATATTATATATTTGTGTATAAAATTATAAATCACCAGTTTTCAAGTGACCAATTAATGTCAATAAATAAGATTCATAAAACGGGGGAAAATTAGGCGAAGGCATAAAAAATAATATAGGACTACCGTTTTTTTTTTCTATCTCACTCTCTCAGTCCGTCTGATTTTGCATATTCATCCATGGCCTCTCCCTTTAATTTACCCCGACATTTTTACCCGAATACATTTTCTTGTCTTAGGTTTTCTCCCTTACATTTTTTCGCTAATGTTTATTAGTTTTCATACTTTTCTCTATGAATTGTAAAATTTTTATTACTTTTCTAAGACAGTAGAATTTATGAGACTTTTGTTTGGCCTATGTATATGCGGTACTACATATTCAAGAAGAAACGTGGATTATTGGTAGTTTTCTTTTTCATCTAAGAATGATTGGAAATCATAGAAAATAAGAATAATGACTGCTTAAGATTGGATTTTCTACTTTTTACAGTACTGAAAGCGCAAACATAAGAATGTGTGTTAATATTTACTAAAAATCTTTATAGATAGTTCAAAGATACTACTACTACTACTACTACTACTACTACTACTAATAATAATAATAATAATCATAGCTATCCATCAACCGTAATAAATGAATGTTCGTATGTGTATCTAAATGTCTTTTAAATGCAAAGAAGTACACACTCCAATTGCAAGTTCTGCAAGCAATAGTAATAAAAGTAGTATTGACGTTAAAGGCTGATTAACAACATTTCTAATTAAACTCGTTCTACTACTACAATTACTAGTATTACTACTACTACTACTACTACCACTGGTGGGAGAAATAATTTATCATATCAGTTTATTTGCTTAAAATTTTTTATAAGTCAACGGAAACGGCTTTTAAGTAAGTTTTTGGATAAGGGGGATATTTTCTTTATGAACTGGTTATTCAACTACATCAAAAGCTTAAGGGAAGTCGTTTTAATAAGTACATATTTGTGTATTTGGTTTTAATTCACAATTTGTGTGAAGAACAGTGATTCTACCTGACTGCTAAAACTAAATTAAGCAGTGCAGGGTTTGACTCTGAAACCTGTTAAATGAAAACCTAGTAGTTTAACCAATTATTCACTGTTTCACCACTATGATGTTTGGTACCTTTTTGTTTGCATCAATGAATTATTCTTCCTTATTGGGTTTTCGATGAGAATAGATGTCTCTCCATCCTGAATACTTTTATAATGATTATGTCTACTGATATAAGAATAAAGACCTCATTCTTTTCCCAGATGCAGTGATCACAAAGGCCTCCAAAAAATCTAGACATTTAACTATCTATCATCTATTCAACTCATTTTGCTAGGTTCTCATTTTGATGAAACGTTAAGGGTTCATACTAAAACAAAGTTAATAAAAATGATGATACTTTGGTGGACGCTACTCATAAGGATGTTTGTAAGTAGTGTTTATCTGAACGTGGCGTCGAAGTTGTAACAACTGTGGAAACTTCCATTGCATCGAAAACACAATTCGGTAGAACACTTAAAGACTAGAAGAGAAGACGTTTGACAGTATTGGTAAGTTGTAAACCGTCCCTTCTTTACGAAATACTGTTTTATAATAAGTACGATTAAGCTATTTGATCTGAATTGTGTTATGAATATACTAGCAAATCAATAGTGACAACAGTTATCTGAATTTTCTGGGAGCTCTTATCATGAGTAATCAGTTGCTCAGAGTATCCATGTTAATTTCATATCGGGTTAAAGTGATTCAAACTATTTGGACTTTGGACTTAAAATCTGATAGGATCTATCCGTCTTTCAGTATCTAACTGAGGGACTATCATCGGATAATTAAAGAGGACCTATGTCTAATTTATGAGCGTTGCATCATGGATATTAAATGACTAATATCACACAGTAAAATAAATAATTGCCAACTTAATCTTCATCATGGTACTTGAATAGGTGGTTGAAAGCTATAGTACTTCGAGGCGCTATCAGAATTCACTACAAATTAATTACTGATGAGTTCGTTCCCAGGACCTCTAACTAAAATTTCAATTCATTTATTCAGTGATCAGTGATGTATTTAAATTCACTGTCACCTGATACTCTGTATGATATAGCCAACAGGCTTTCAAGAATAATAAAGCAAGCTGATAGGCTTTAGAGTTTAGTTGCCTTTAAACAAAACTTAGTCGTAAAGCTGTGATGTTCATTAAGAGTTCGGGTTTGCATCCGTAAACAAAGGGTTCCTTGCCAGTTATTCCTATCCAGAATGTAAGACCAAGTTTTTTCCATATTTTACCTCTATTAAACTGATCTTTTTACAATAATATGTGAGTGACTATTTATTGTTATTACTGTTAATTTTTGGTCAGATTTTCCATTGAGATTCTCAAATCCGCATACCTAACTTTATGCTAATAATATTATGATCAACATTTATAGAGGAAATTATGGATCAATGGGGACAAACTCGGTTAGTAAATGTTTATTCTATAGTCGTTTGTCAGCATCACTAAAAATGACCAATCTATAAAAAATTGTTTTTACTAGAGAAAGAGACAGTTTTAATTGTTACGCAATACGTCATCAAGAATGCTTACTTTTACTAATACAGAAAACTAGTTATCAAGTAAGGAAAGTGGATTATCATTTTCAACTTACTTCATGAAGTCCATGTGGTATAACAAGCCATAAATGTTTCCATTCTTCACGAAACCTTCGTCTACGATCTTTTTCACGCCATGATAAGTATTTATAAGCTCCTGTTGAAACAACAGTATTTTTCACATTGTTTTGATTATCACTGTTAGTTTTACCTTTTTCATCTTCGCCATTGTTCCATGGGCTGTCTTCGGGAGTGGAATAAAAAGTCATATCTATTGTTTGTTTGTTGACGCTATTTTTTTCAACTGTGGGACAATTTTTATCTAATTTGGATTTTTTACCATTTATTGAATTCCCATCTTCATTTACAGTATTTTGATTTACAGAATATGTCTCCTTTAGTAAATTATGTGTTAATGAATGATTAATAGTATTAGCGTGAATAACCTCAAACCTGTCATTGATATGTGTATTATTATTACTGATAGGAATACTGATTACATTAGGTTGATTAAGGCCAGTAATCTTGTTGATTCCTGCTTTTATATATTTTCCAGTGTATTTCCTAGAAACACTAGAATGGTTTTTAGAATACTTTCGTTTTGATAAACGTCCGCCATCAGTTTCATCATTTGTAGCATAACATACAACTGGTTGGGAAGTGCATTCTGATTTCCTTAAGGAAGATGTATTGTTATGATTAAATTTGAAGCTGTTCGAAAATTCGAGTGATGAATTGCGATTGTAATTTGATTGCTGATGAGCTGTTACTTTCGGACTGGTAGATGTTAAACATTGATGATCAATAAAATTGGAATGTATGGAATAATCAAGAGGATTATCAGTCTTGTTAACTGTAACATTGTTAGGTAAACTCATTTTCTTGACTATATCTTCATGTATATTTGATTCGACAGTATAAATGGAATTGCATTGAGATGTACATTCAGAGAATGTAACTTCAATAGGTGACCAATGTGTAAAATATCCTGTTTGATTCTCATTATTACGATTAACAGAAAAACTACCATCAAATGATCGTATAGGTGTATGATCATTTAGTGCTGATAAAATATATCTGTGACTTTCTTTTAGGCCCATAGATTTATCAGAAAATAGTGACGATGTTTTGATAATATCTTGATTTGTTGTCATTTTGAATCGAAACTCAAGGTGTGATTGTGAAATATGATGCGTTTCCTTGTGAATCTTTTTTACGAGAGAAACTGAAAAGTAAGTGGGTGAAGTAGATTTATTAAATTGATAATAGACTGGCGTGAGATATTGAAAAAAATTTCCTAGGCTTTTTTATTCTGCACTGCGAAAACATACTCATTGAACCTCATAAGAGAGCCGCTTAATCTCGTTTAAGTCGAACGCAATTATTTATTACAACTGCAAATAATATGAAACAGATTTAAGTGGACATGCGAATAAAGCCCATACTGCATACTTAGACATACAGAGTTTTATGAAAATGACTTATCAATGTAGTATCTGAATGATTAAATGCTGAAAATTCGTTGACAAGTGACATAAACAGTTTTGGCTTTATACTAGGTGAGTTGGATGCAATGAAACTTGTAAGAGATCAATGAATACGTCAAGATGCACGACAAGAATGTTATCAAGCAGAAAGATAGGAACACCCACTTAGCAATGCACTTAACATAATGATTCGTTTGTAAATAGTGATAATTACTAAACTCAGGTTGGAGGATCTTCCTGGCATACAACGGTTACTCAAACGCTGCTAGTTTTTATTGGAAGGATTTCTGAATTCTTGAGATATAAATTTCGCGCCTATACTATTAGGGAAATCAGTTTCCGAGTAAATGAAGATAAGTGGTCTCCTATTTTTGTTAAATCGGAATAAAAATGAGTTTTGCGTTTGTTACGTCAAACGTGTGGTCTAAACCTATGAATAACAGTGGATCATTTGAAGACGAGAATAGACTCCTATAAAGGCATACAAACGTAACTACCTACTATTTTCAATGACCTGACAATGCTTCAAATCTGTTAAACATACTCTGTTCATAACTGTCATACATTAAAATGAAATGCTAAGGTGAGTTGCTAGGTTATTCATGAGCTTTGGTCATTGATAAAATTGTGAAGAGATTATCGTCCAGAAAATGGATCATTATTTAAGGATTGTTTTTCTCTTTACCAGAACTTTTATTTTCCATCTATCACAATGTCATTTTGGTGATATTGTGTCTTCGTTGCAACCCAGTGATAATCTTAGACCACCACAATGAAATGGTCAAACTGAAAAGCTTCATCATCAGAAAACGGTTGATTCTGCACATGTATGATTATGTAAACAAACCATTTATATGACTTTAAAAATTCGCCGTCATGTTAGTCAACATTCTCTGAAAGTGATATAAAACAGAACTTCTTCGTTTTCAATCCCTATATTTGTTAGGTCATAGTTCAAAATAACTAGATTATCTTAAATTACTAATAACAAGTTGTGTGTTAAAGTGAACCAGTTGATTAGTCAACTAATCAATCCCACCAACTTATGCTTATGGAATGACACATTGAACAGTGAACTTGTTTATTGTAGTTTGTTTATCATATCTTAGTATCTTATCAAGTTCTCTTTAATAACCCAAAATATCAAACTGTTCGAATCGTGTTGAATGATTATTGAGACTAACCCTAACCTATGACTACTAGAGTTAAAACCACTAAATCAGGCGAAATAGAATTTCGTCACTGAATGTAAGGAATCTGAAATTCTATTTCTTAGATGAGTAAGAATGTTCAAATTATATAGACTTTTACTTTAATATATGAATAAACGCTTCTTTTAATTAAAGTTATGATCGAAAGTATAATATCAATTAATTAGAAAGTAGTTTTCCATACATCCCATGTATAGAAATGACTAGATAATCAAATAATAGTGTTTTATAAATACAATGGGGTACGGTGGCGCAACTTCGTGGATTGGTTGAAGTTAGACACTAACACCGATGGATGCTGGCCGACTCAGTGGTCTAGTTGGTTAAGCGCCTGGCACTAGACTGATAGGTCCAGGGTTTGAATCTCGCGGGGTGCAAGATCGTGGATGCGCACTGCTGAGGAGTCCCATACTAGGACGAAACGACCGTCCAGTGCTTCCAGGTTTTCCATGGTGGTCTGGCTTCAATTGACTCATGATTTCAATCTGTGAAATTTCCAAAATCTCCACAAACCCCTTCTGACAAGTAAATCTATTTAATTTGAAAATTTGTTGAAATTATTTGTGTAATTACATTATTGAAATTGCATAACATGTATCGACCTACTAGACACAAAATTATTTCATTCAGTCAATCAGTGATGCGGAATATAGAACCTTGAACAATATTTGGATCAATACAAGTCATCACATTGCATCAACCGTTCTAGAATGAATCGGTTATCTAGTGCTTCCAGGTTTTCAATGGTGGTCCAATATTGATCGAATCATGATTTCAATCAAACTCAACAATCTCCATAACCTTATACTTATAAATAAAATTATCAAGACGAATACAAAGGAATGGTAGTAGTAGTAGTAGTAGTAGTAGTAGTAGTAGTAGTAGTAGTAGTAGTAGTAGTAGTAGTAGTAGTAGTAGTTTCGAGTTTGTAAAAAACAAAGCTAACACATGTGTTTCATTACACAGAAAGAAATCCCTAAGATATTCATATATGCATGGTATCTGATAAATTTACAAATAACAATACAGACAATGCTGAAACTTTTCCCCTTCAACGTTTTTTTCTTCGTTTTTCTTTCTATTTTCATCTGTTCTGTTCATCTTATGATCAACATGATTTTGTATAACTAGGTGTTTACCTTGTCACTACACACATAATTGTTTCTTATTTATTATTGGTTAATTTACAAATATTTTATACAGTATTTAATTTGTCTATCCATTTTATTATTGGTAGTAAATTAATCAACACTGATTAACTAGTCAATTTTATATTGAAGTGTAAGACTAGACATTCTGGCGTTCAATCAATAAATCAGTGTTCATCTATTCTTGAAAAGAAAAAGAAACAGGTGATCAGGGTACTTGTTTATCTACGTATGTAAGATTGTTTACATATATAAATAGTGATATTTGTAATATGTCAATAATTAAAATAAAGTACATTGTCAAGTTGTTTTGGTTAACTTTCATATCATAGTATAATACATCTATCTATATAAAAATCTTATGACACAGTGATAAACGTCACTTCTTCATAATATTAACTTTACAAAGAGTATGGTAACGACAATATACTCAATCAACAAATGTTTCTACATATGTACTTTTTGGAGAACAGGTCATACATATGAGGTCTATGAAAAAAACGATTATATATCATTTAGACGGGTATATCTAATGATTTAAAGTCAGACCAGCATTCTCTAACCCACTCTGTCCTGAGCCTTCTTTTCCAGTTCTGTCGAATTTTTGTTCATTCTTCTCATGTCCGTCTCCATTTCTCGGTGTAATGTGTTCTTTGGTCTTCTCCTTTTCTTTTGGCCTTGAGGACTCAACTCCGTCCGGAGCCCCTCTGGGGCTACTGCCGGTCCCAAGTCGGGATAAAGTAGGAGGGTTGGGCATGGGGTTAGCGACCTCATGCCGCAGAAAAATAATTCGCTAAAAAACGCTAACCAAAGTGTTATAACCTTAGACTAAAGTTTTAAATACTTACAACTAGTTTATCTTAGTACCATACAGCTCTATCTATCTTCGTACTTAAATGTTATACCTACTCGAAAAACATTGTTTTAGTAGTAGTCGATTACTTCCTATCTTAATATATTAGTATTTTATGGTAAAGTGACGAAATCATAATGACCTAAGTGTTTCTGTTTAGTTTTGACTAAGTAGGATTCACTGTTGAGAAATTTATGACGTACGTTATTAGATGAAAAATATCAATTTGATTGGTAGAACGTCATAAAAACCATACTGAATAATCACACTACAAAAGTTCTAGATATTCATTATATTCAGTATCGAAAATTGGAAAAAGTAAAGCACAGTCAAGACTCTTTATTTCTTTGAAATTCATACAACAAATGAAGAACAATCCGGGTTTAACTGTATCACTGTTCTAATTGTCTATAGATATTGCAATAGAAAAAATTGCATGGGTATACATCTAAATTTAGAAATCTCAAAAGAAAATATGATGACATTCCATGAAAGCTCAAGTAAGTTTCATAAAGAAAATGATACGGTGGATAGTCAAGTTTTAACCTCATTGATTAATAGTTGATCAGTGAAATAAATTATTCTCTAAAACTGTTTTCCAATGACTTTTGTTTACACTTATTTGATGAAACAGATAATTTCTATCTTTATAGTTCAAATTGTGAAATGATCTTATTTACACTAATATTGAAAATCTGAGAACACTGGATACCTATTTTGTCCCAGTGTGAGACTCCTCGGCAATGTGCACCCACGACTCCGCATCTGGCAATCAAACTCAAGAACTTAAGTTTCGAGCACTAGCTTTTTGATTCTAGACCACTAAGCTGGTATTCGACTGTCATCCTGCGCTCTCAGTTTTACAATGGTGGTCTAATTAATATCGCTTCATCATTCAGGCTATGACAATTTTACGATCTCCACAAATCCTTCTATACTAATAAATATTTATTTCATTGGAAAGATATAAGGTTTTGTTGGCCATTTGCTTTTTATGTTCCGATTTTTATTCATTCGAGGGCTTGCAAATGTTTACTCGGTTTGTTCAAGAAATCATAGCTCCATATCAATCCATATAACTAATCACACATACACATGCATTATACTTATTCACTAAATGCAGTTCTTTTCCTGATAAGTTAGATATAAACCAACTAACTTATAAAATAAATTTTAGGTTTTTTGTGTGTAACTTTCATTGAAACATGAGATTTATATCTAAGTGAATATGATACAGTTGAACTCGGATTGATTCGCACAATTATAAGTCATCGACTAATTTTGTAAGTTGTTCATTACATCCAGTGTATAACTTTTTATTCAAGTTCTCAATACAGAATGTTACAATAGAGGAAATCTGCAGTACCTCCCTATTTTAGTGAGTTTTCTTTGAAGAATATCTGTAGACAGTGGGAAACACTGTCATTTCAATGTTTCAGTCGACTAAAATAACAGATAACATCAAGAAGACAACAAAGCGTTATCCCCTAGTGAATGAATGATATTGATGAGAATAATCACATGATATGTCTTACCTATTCTCGTCTTTCAATTTATTTATGTATGAATTTGTGGTTTATTTATACACCAGACGGCTATTGATGGTTAGTTAAAAAAATACAAATAAGGTAATCATGATAAGGTTAAAACAAATAAAAATGCACCCTTTTTGTTTTGATCAAAGCACATATATACACGTAGAAAGTGGAATGATGAACTTTAGTCTTTCTTTTATCAATCAGATGATCAGAGACGTAAGTAATGAAAGTATCTAAAAAAAAAACAAACATGGTATTCTCGTATAACAATTGAATTGGTGACAAAAAGCTAAAATCATTCAGCAAAATATGAGACAAGAGAATTTTAGATTACAACTTCTTATTCCACCAAACCTTTTTGTTTATTGTGTGAAGTTTGTAATTTTTGTTTTAAATATGGTGAATTTTCTTTGAATAGACACATTTTATGTAAACATTGATAGTAGATCACATTGCTGGAGCTGAATAGTCAAACATAGGTAAGATCAAAGATTTCAAAAGAAAAGGCCATTCTGTCAACAACAACAACAACAATAAAAAACGACTAAACAGTAACTTGTTTTATCTACAGGTGCCCATATATGCGTTTTCGGACATTAAGTGATTGATGAGCTAACTCTTAAAGTTAAAAGAAAGGCTGTTTTACTTTAGCACATTCTCATTTTCTGTTTTAAAATAGCCCCTTGCATAAAACTGATACAGTACAGTGTTTATTTAACAGTTGGACAAAAAAATGGTGATGGGCGTAATGCTCCAGTTATTAGTTTTGTTTTATAATATTCACTAATTTATATGGAATATTCGTGCTTTTTTGAGTCTTTACAAATATGTAATTAAAATAGGTTTAAAAATAAGGGATAACTTAGTATTCTACAATTATTGTACTCACCACGATACTAGATAATCCAAACTTCTATTCGTGGCTGATTCAGTGTTGACGACAAAAGATTTGTCTATTGATCCTTAGTTTTTAATGGTTTTCAAACTGAAGTCAATACTTAAAATGTAATTATATTCAAGATATACGAATTATTATCAGAAAGAGGGTTTTATGGAGATTGTAGTAATTTAATAGTTGAATTGATGAGTCGATAAAAGCTAGACCACTATGGGAAACCTGGCAGCACTGGACGGCCGTTTCGTCTTAGAATGGGATGCCTCAGCAATTTGCATCTACTAAGCCGAAATGACCGTTCAGTGCTGCCAGGTTTTTCAAGGTGATCTAGCTTTAATTGACTCATGAATTCAACTATTATATATACGAATTAATTATAATAAGTGGAATTATCTGTGGTAAAAATATTTTAGCATTTAGAGGCACAGAGTACTTTTACGTGACTAACTGATCGACATTTATTAGTAACCTTAAAACTGTTGAGTTTTTAATTACCTAACTATTGTATTTCGTCTCTAAAGTAGCACCTTTATAATTTGAAATTCAGACGGCATCAATCAGTATACAATCAATATCGTTCATAGTAAAATATGATTGGAATATGTTATATATTATCACTATTTATGTCTATTTACTTAGAACAAAAGTCTTGACTACAATTTGTTTATAACTAACGGTTATTTAAGAAATGTTATCGAATATTGATGATAGGCTTGTTGAAGAGTATTTGTCAAGTTTAAAAATTTCAATTATGATCGGTCAAATTTCTTCTAACATTCAGTTTCATAGTATTTACTTAAGTTTCTGTATTAGGGAATTTCCAAACATCTTGAGGTTGGCGGCCGATATTTTAATGTTGATTCGAGGGTAATTTTCGACATGAAATGATCCTTCTTAATGAATCATTTAAAATCAGAAAGCTCTAGGCTACCATTAAGTTCTGCTTGGAATCTTTTCATGACCCTCAATAACATAGAACTTAGGAACCTTTAATTTCACATAGGAAATGATACTTTTAGGCCACTGAGTTGGAATTTTTTTATTCTGAATTTTAAACAGAACTATAGACAAAGATGGATGGTAGATAGCGGTGTAATACGGGACGCGCGTTTCGTCCTATTTTGGACTCGTCAGCTGGATGTTCCTGCATCCCAGGGTTGATGTTCACTTATCTCCACGAACCATCCAATAAAATAATATAACTGTGTGTTCAGTGGTGAATCGATTGAAAATGTATTTTTTTTGTATTTGGTGGAACCTTATATTTATTAGTAAGACAATAACTGAAATCAGAGATTTAGACCTTTACATAAGCGTTGGTTCATTGGTGCTTCGCTACGCAGAAGGACCTTATATCTTGAATCTCGTCCTATGTGTGCTGTTGAGTACCTACAATATCAAACAAAAAATTTATCCAGAAATCATTTTTGATATATTAATGAGCTTTGGTTATGTTTAGGCTCTCCAAGCACGGAAGCTTAACTGCAGAAAATATGAAACGCTTCATGATTTTGTATTTTAATGAGTATTACTGGCATATAATACATATAGATTATCAATACTATCTACAATATTTACCACTAGATGGAATGTATCAGCATTCCTTGAAACTCAAACTTAATCACTGAGGGCAAAATGAATATGAAATCATATTGAACTCTTGAATCTGTTGACATCGTGAGAAAAATCTTTTTACATATTAAAATCAGTGGAATTTTTCGAAGAATAATTACCAAATTATTCATTGAACGCTATTTAAGGTATCGCTCTGATATCCAGGAGCCTGATGTCTGTCAATGACTTTTAGTTTCCAAATCCATTAATGATGACTTATTAACTTGGTAACTTAATAAATTAATTTAGTTCTACAATTCATTATAATTAGAATAATAAAATACTCAACTGATGTCTATCAACTAATCGATAAGTGAACAGTTATTTGCAATAGATATCTCCGATCATATAGTATGCGCATGTTCAATTACATGAGCATGACAAGAAAATACTATCAGTTTAGTAGACATACATACACGCATTTAAGCATACAAACACACACACACACATCAAATACCGTTTCGTAATCAAATCAATATTCAGTCGAAAATATTCTGTTAATTTCTTATCCTCAATATCATTTGAAAAGAACCGGTGGAATTTAAGACAATTCAGATCTTATTTATCAACAATAAACAACTTAGTTCATTATAATAATACACAAAACAAGCCTAGATTCATTGCTAATGGTATTATCAATTACACATTACATTCCAATGAAAGTAAAGAAATGTCATTATTGTCACTTGCTGTTGTTAGTAACAACATCAAAGTAATCATTAATAAATATTATTCTATGTAGGTCAGTCAGCCATTTCATTATCGATTATCGATTATTATTATTATTGCTCACTTATTTTAGTCTGAGTATACAAATATTTTTGGTAATTTTTTTTATAATATAAATATGAAAGTTATGATCAATTTTGTTGAAATATTGGCGTTATTACGTCATATATGTGTACTCATTAGCTCGTGTATTAGTTCATTTACATTTTTAAAAAAAACAAACTAAAAATGATATTGAGAACTTACGCAAATGTCACCAAATCAACAATTTTCATCGTCTGTTATCAATGTAGAGATTTGTAGAGGCTATAAAGTTCAAATGAAAAATAAATAAGAACATTCATTTACTCTTGATTAATTTATAGCGTAGGTGAAATGTCTGTCTACAAACTGGTTTTGTAATTTGTACAACAGCCTATTCTGTATTATTTTGTGTTAATAAAATATGATTTTCAAAAGTTAAAGACTTTGATAGGCTATAGGTTTTGATTGAGAGTGAATTCAATGCATTGATCGCTTTCGATAGAATAACCTATTAAGGAATGTTGACGTTGGACATGATGCACTAGGAAAAAGTGATAATCACCATCGGTTAAAGGGATTAAGATGTTTGTCGCGCATATGTAATCACCATTTACATCTTAGTTCAATGTTTGCTGATGTAAAAGTAGGTTGGGAGAAAGCTAAAGACAGCCAAATCAAGGCATGACATCAACTGATGAGGCCATCAATTGTTTTTATAACCATGTAAGTAGATACAGACTATCTGGTAAACACATTCAGCGGTTGGAGATAATGTGATATGGCTCAGAATCGTTCATATTGTCACAGATACCTTCATTCACAATCTTCCTCTCCATCTCAAACTCTTCCATGTATACCCTTCTAATATATCCGTTAGAATCCTATTTTTAATGGTTGGTCTTTTTCATATTCATTGTTACTACATTACTCCGATCACTTTTGCCATACATCTTGACAATTTCATCTCGTCGTACTAATATGGTATGGCAACATGAGCCATCGTGACATTTGGCAAGTGATCAGTCGAAAAGTTCGGAGAGCAAAACAACTTTTGAATTCTCATGATTCATTAACAGTATATATTCACAACCTTACATAAGATCGAGTCTAGGATGCTTAGATTTCACGGCAGCCATTTAGACAAAAAGTTGGAATTATATACTTTACATTCTATAGTTTGCTGGGTTTATAGTATAGTAAGATCATTGCTTATGTATAGATATGAATATATTTCATTTTCAACAATCAGTTTTTGGTCAGTATTCATTAGTAGGTTAAATTAGAAATGTCCACCAATGATACTATAAGCTCAGATCTAATTTGAATATAATCGAATTTCTAACTTTGACCAACTTTAATTATAAATACATTTAAAACATTTTCTTTGTTATTGTACTGCATTTTGCATTTGTTCATGTTAGGAATATACTTCTGAACTTGCTCAGATACGGTTTTAACAATTCAAAGTCATGCAAATATAAGCATCTGACAATAGAAGACATGAAAGTAATTGTTGAGTTCAGTTTGAAACTAGACTAATAGAACGTCCCTCAAATATTTTTGGTTTACTAATGCCTACAACCTTTTTTTAATTACTGAAATATTGACTTAGATGACAGCACTAACCGAATAATAGCCAGTCATATTATGATATGAATAGCTCCTAGATGATAAGTGTAATCGATAGTCTTATCCATGAACCTTTGATGCCTGGACAAACCAATATATCCCTTTGAATACGTAAACATAAAAATACACTAGACTTACATTTCATATTTGATGACTCTGGCAGCCATAATTATGAGAGTTGTTTAATTAGCACTAGTGTTTAGACATCAATTTATTAATCATTTATTATTTAATAAGCTACTAATTTACACAATCTAATCCTCGTGGAAGTCATCTGTACTTTGTTTGGCTCAGGGGTATAAACAAAACTTGTTTATGAATCTTGACAAGAAAAAAAATCTACTTTTATCAAAGTTTCCGAGACATAGACATTCGATTCCTACAAATATATCTTCTAAATGGAATTAGACAGATAATTCTTTTTATTTCTAGCTACATTATGAGAAGTGGATTCAACTTTCAAATCTCCATATATATATATATATATATATATATATATATATATATATATATATATATATATATATATATATATATATATATAAACCTTTATCATGGAAAACCTGGAAGCACTGGACGGCCGTTTAGTCCTAGTATGGGACTCTTCACCAGTGCGCATCCACGATCCCGCTCCACGTGAGATTTGAACCCAGGACCTGTTAGTCTCGAGCCAGGCGCTTAACCAACTAGACAACTGAGCTAGCATCCAATGGTGTTGATGTCTAGCTTCAACTAATCCACGAAGTTGCGCCACTGTACACCACTGTCTTCAGTGAGATACTACCTCACAACTGACCCGGTTGAACCCCACTGGTAACGGCTTCTCACTAGAACTCCAGGAAAATCTCTTGAAGTCAGTCACTAGCGAGCAGATGATTATTATCAGAAAGGGCTTGTGAGACGGGATCGTGGATGCGCATCACTGAGGAGTCCCATACTAGGACGAAACGGCCGTCCAGTGCTTCCAGGTTTTCCCTGGTGGTCTGGCTTCAAATGACTCATGATTTCAATCTGTGAAATTTCCAAAATCTCCACAAACCCCTTCTGATAAAAACGTTTATGCTTAGAAATGTTACTATCAGTAATTTGAATGCGGTAATAAGAGAACTGACTGTTCATTAAACGAGTAGCATCATTTCTAGATATTTTTATATTTCTTTTAAAATGAATTGGTGTTGTGTATTGTTCAGAATTATTATCTAACTTTCAATAAACTTTCTATAAAAGATTATTTGAAAGATGATATAATCAATGTAACAAGACTTAATGTAATCGAAACAAAACGCTGAAAATCCCTCTCCAGCATTTTTGTTGGACAGTACTGTCATTTATTTGTTTCTTTTCCCTGTCGTGTATTTTGACCTTTGTTCAGATCTCTTTTAAACACACTTCGTGTTCTTCAGTCTTCTTTGTCTGAGTTTTGATTCTATGATTTTGATTAAAGACTTACCGTTTATTACTTCATTTTTCTGTTGCGTGTTGCTGGACTATTGATAATAAGGTCGTGTTTGACTAAGCTCAAAGTCACGTCGTGGTTCAGTGTGTGACTTTTAACCTTTGACTGTCTGTTTGGAAAGATTTCTGGAATCCCTGCGGACAGATATATGATCCCATCTTGTTGGGAATATTTTTATTGATTCTCAGGTATTAAACTCTTTTGTATTAACTGTTTCTTTTGTTGTTTAACATGCTAATTTTTGTTAGAGAAACCCTTGATTATATAGCACAGGCTGTACCGTTTGAGGTATTTTGTATTTTTGATATGATTTATTCTATTTCTTAAATTAGAACCGTATAAACTGAGCATAGAGTTTGTGTTTTAATATAATTTAATATGATTAACTCAAAAACGCTTCGTACTTTATACGGAAGAACGTAGTCTTATCTAATCAAATACATTTTGGTTCGTTAGTTTTACATTCAAACGGAATATTGGCATTTCGATCGTTACACCTATAGTTAGGGATATTCTTTAGATTCATGTTTAAGAAAGGAAGCCTTAGGTACTGTTGTTATAATCATGAATATAAGAAATAACAATCAAATGAATTTACCACTAAAGATCACTTGTTAAAGATTAACTGATATGAAAAGACATTATGAACATACCGAAGATGCATTATATGTTTTGCTTCAATTAAAATGTTATCATGAATATTTTTTTATGTCTTGTTCAAGTATCTAAGTTACCTATTACATAACTGTTCATGTGTTGCAAAACATATCCGTGTCTTAGATTTGTTTCAACTAAATAATTCTGTTTGCTAGCTCTTATAACAAAAAATTACAATATTCACTGAATAAATGAAAATCTATGCATTGAATAACCAAGAAAAAAAAGAAGAAAGTCACAGGAATAAAATGAATTGAAGATGTCTGAGAGTTAACACTATCAAAAACTGATCAATCATAAACTGATCGAGGTCGAATATATGAACCATTGAAATTCTAGTCAATAGCCGAATGTTATTTCACTTAATATAAGATCCGAAACTCCTGGATACGTACTGATAAACAACTAGATAAACTTTATATAAATTATCTAATTAATAGTCAGGTTAAATAAGAAATTAATATAAATTATACTGGGGTTCTCGGAAATATATTAATTAAGAAAACGTTTTTATGGTAGCTACTGTTTGCCTTTTCTAAGATATCATCTTTAAATATAGGAAATGATCATGAAAATGCTGATTGAAAAGTATATATTCCAACTTTTAAATGTTAATCTACAATAAATAACAGTGATACTGATATCGATAGATATAAATAGTATGTATCATCAATCGAATGTGAAATACCTGGCAGTAGAAGGTTAAGAAGATTGAAGAAACAGAGAACGAGAACAAAGAATGATTGTTGTGGAAATGAAGGAACAATGAAGTCTACGACGGTTGGTGGACATTTTACAAATGAAGTACTTACTGTATGATTCTCAGATTTTACTAAGATGTTCTGTAATTTTCTATTCAAATACATTCGATTGTCAGTTTAGGGGTTGTGAAGATTGTTAAGTTTTTGACTGAGATCATGTACTGATTGATGTTAAACCACCATTGAAAACCTAGAAGCACTGGGCGGCCGTTTCGTCCTATTGTGGGGCTCCTCAGCAATGCACATCTACGATCCCCCTTTCGGGATTCGAACCCAGGGTCTCCAGTCCGGCCAGATTTTAGTGGTGTTAATATCTAACGTCAACCAATCCACGAAGTTGGATTGTCCCTACTTGTGTTCTCCTTCACTTCATTGACTAAGATTATTTGTACTCTGAGCAGGTTCATAATAAAAATGTCTTCACTTTACTGTAATTTGATGAAAGCTCTATTCTCTTATTTAAGTGGATATAATTGAATGTATGGAGCTAGTTATGACTGTTAGTGAAAATGGGCCTTTTATTTATTCAAAACTTCCTAATTTGTGTGCAGTAGAAAACTATTAGGGACTAAGTAAACCAGTAAGAACTTGAAATTCATTTTCAATAAAACAGCATCTAGTCTCCATTATCTAAAGTACACATAACGATGAAAAATTGAGTTCTTTGAGGGATTCTTTAAGGTGAGAATTGGAACAAGCGAAAGTGTAATATGATAAAAAGAAATGTTTAAAACGAATTATTCCATGAAATAATAATCTACTAGTCAATATTTCTAAAC